TGTTTGTTTGTTCTTGTCAGGAAATGAATCTCAATCATTCTAACCACAGGTGCAAAGTTCTGTCTTTCACTGTTACTTGTTTCAAGGTGATGGAAAAGTTGCTTGAGCAGGTGATTTGTGATTTTATGTGACTGCGTGGCAGCTGTTAATAGAGATACAGGTGACTTTTGTTAGAGCTGAAATTTTGAATTCTAGACTACATACTGAATTAGTTCACAGTTTGCAAGATGCTTGCAGGTCAGTATACCTCATCAAATGAAAAGTGGGAGAAACTTGCCAGAACTCTTTACCTGAATATGCATGGCAATGCAGAAGTGTAACTAACGCAAGGACATCCATTTGCTAAAATCAGCTGCTCAAAGTGGTATGAATCATACCCTCTTTGTAATTCACATAGTAGGGAAATAGACTAAGTTTTGTTACAGATGGTATCCTACCACTGAATACCAGTGGGACCACTCATTCTTTGTTCAAATCATGGATACAAAACTGCACACTTAAGTTCAGAGTGACAGATATATGGAAGTGTAATTTATGTGAACATATTTAAATGTTTAGTGTGTTGGAAACAGGCAGTGTGATGTCTGTTGCTTTTTCTTGCCTACTGGAAGTGTTTCATAGTTCGTATGTGTTGGACTTCTCTTTCATCTCTCCCTGCCTTTTTCTCATGTCTGCTCTACCGACTGCCAGTTTCCAGTGATTAAGTTTTAAGATCCCAATAATCTTTTTTTGTTCTCTTCCGTAAGAGATTTTTTATGCCTTTTACCTTTGACTTTTTTCCTAGTATTCTGAATTACTTTGAAGTGAATGTTTTGGTTTTTTTTAATTTCCTTCCTCTCATCTTTTTTTTTTTTCCAGTTTCACCTTTGTTCTTCTCTATATGTGTTTTGTGCATTTTCTCTCTTGTGTTGCTTTTTCTTATTAGTTTACCACAAATCTTGAGTTTCTTTCTTTTACTTATTCTTGACTTTTTCTATACTGTTTAACAGAGCCTTGGGAATATATTTTTGCTTGACATCTGAGGTGCAGTTTCAGAAAACATCAAAACCATTATATTTGAAAAAATCCTTGTCCTTTTTAACTAGGAAAAAAGGTGGTATCTATGAACAAGAATGGAGGAACGGAAGTGTTTCAATTATCTCCTTTCTCTTTTGTTTTTATTTGTTTTCTGTTTCTCCTTTTTCTTCTGTTTTTCACAACACTAAGGAATTGATTCTGGAAATAATTATTTTCAGGCAATAAGAAACCGAAAAGAATACCTCCTTTAAATGAGGATTTCTACAGAATTATAAGACCTGCTTTTCTTCATACTGCTATCTTTTCTCATGTGCCTTGGTATGAGATGGTCAGTTCTTGTGCTCAGTAAGTAAAGATTCACTTCACTGGCAGAGTCCTTCATAACAATACTGATTTGTTTTGTTTTGTTTTCAGTGCAATGAAACTTCCTTCTTTTTTGAAGCACGTAACAAAACAACATGCAAACATCTCTGGAAATGCTGTGTGGAGCATCATATGTTCTTCAGGTGGGTGATGTAGAAGCTGATGTTTCATTAACCAAAAGCAAGGCTACTGTGTTGAGTAAGAACATCTTACTTACTTAGGACAGTTTAGTACTTACACTTGTGTTTCACCACTCTGACTGGTGTAACACAGGTTTGCTGCCTGAAAACACGTTTTTGCTCTTGATTATAGAATGCTTTTAAAAGGTGATGCCTTCCATTTTCTTCCAGTGATGTGAAACAGTAATTAACTTCTTTTTTTTTCCTTTTTTTTTTGTTGGGTTTTTTTTTTTTGGTTGTTTCTTTTGTCATAGAATTCTTTTCAAAACAGTATCTCAGGTTGCATAAAGTAGCCTTTAACAGAAGTATCCACAAACGTATGTGGCAGGATTTAAGGTGATACACACATTTTTACATATTTAACCATAAAATTTTCTGTAGCAGCATTTACTTAATCAAGTAAATGAGGCCATTGGATTTCAGACATTACTATATTCTACACTGTACAGAAATCTTGTTTTTAATAGAAAGTCTCACTGAATTTACATAATATTACTTATTGAAATGTATAAAATGTTTCCAGTATTACACATCTCAAAACACTTTCCTCACTGTTGCAAAACCACCACCAGCAATGTGCAGAGGTGTCTAGCTTGAAACTGATCGATGAGATGCTTGGCTGTGAGTTTAGCAGTGCTGTGAATGAGTAAGCTCATAATCCCTCTTGCAGTCTCCTTACTGTGGGATGGTGTTTTTGCCTGCTCCTGTGAAATATTAAGCAAAAACCTTCTATTGCCAGCAGTTTATATTAGATCCTGAAATAAGGAAGTGTGTACTCAAAAGAGGAGGGCATATACATGGTTTTGTGGAGCTCTCAACCCTGTAAGAGTGTGCCCGTAGGTAGGAATGAAGAGGAACTAGCAGAAAAATATTTTTTTGGAACGCGAAGTTTGTATTTTTCTTTTTATTTTTTTAGGAAGGGGACTGTAAGTGAGACCTATCTGTGTAATTTCTTGTTCTTTTTTTCAAACTACATAGAGTGCCAGAGAATGAATCAAACTCTCTGTCAAGAAAATTCAGCAAGTTTGGATCCGTAGGTTATAAACATCGGTACAGGTAAATTTATTTAATTGTTTAAACTTCAGTTTATTCCTTCTTCATTCCTTCGTTTCTCCTCTTTTCTTCAATGAAAAAGAAAAACCCCTCCTAGGCTGTGACTCAGAGCAGTTCTGACAAAGCATGAATCAGGGTCATTTTAGCAGACTCCCCTTGGGAATCCAACAGTTTGCGAGTAAATGTGGGTTACTTCTCATGCTCCAGATCCCCAGAGTTGGCTTGGGCCTGCTGTAGCCCATAGTGAAAGTGTGAGCAGCCTTGGCAATGCTTTAAGTCAAAATCTCCTTTTAAATTGTGATATTATGTTAATGTGCTAAAGGGTTTTCCTGAAACCTGGGGAATACCAGGACAAGGAGGAATGTTGGCTGCCACCTTTCTTCTGGGAATTAGCAAAGGATTAGTGCAAGGAAGTGTATGAAGTGTGTAATTGTGATGCCCTTCTTTATAGGTGCAATTGAGCAAAGGCTCTTGATCCTAATGGTTATGTCTAATCCTATAACAGTACCGCTGGTGCAGTGCTGTTGATTCAAGAATAAAAGTGAGGGCAGGCCTGAAAGGAGGTGTGGGTATCTTTTTTAAGTGGAATAGCTGTCAAGTTGGGGTAAGCATTCAAGGCTGCAAGCTCTAAAAGATGCAGTAGCTTCAGATTCAGGGTGTATAGGGAGGACTTAGTCTCAATTTTAGCCTGAGTTGGCACGGAGAGTAGGTTTAAGATTTAGCTGCTGTGTCACAAAGGACTAGCAGATAAAGGATGTAGCTAAAATTGTAAGATGTCAGAAGCCCAGTAGTTTTTACTGAGACTTCGTATTTTTAAGTTTGTTGTTTTCAGTCAGTCAGGATTCACCTTTGGATGTAAGATTTCATTTGTAAGATAGGTGTTGCCAATAGAGAGATGACTATACAAGTTCTGAGTCTGAGCTCATGTAACTGAGTCTGGATTGTCTCCAGCAAAGATCACTGGTGTGTTTCTGTCCCATCTTCTCTCTTCTTCAGCATATTTCATAGTAATCCAGATTATTTGGGTTACCACATTATCTGGCATGTTATCTGGTATAATACATACCAGTTATATGTATTATATCTGGTTACATAAGTAACCTCCTCCTTACTGTAGACAGGGGAATGATTGTACTGCCTTTTGGATTTCTAGTTGGATCCTGACCCACATCACCCCATCTGTAAAAGTGGATAGGAGTTCTGGATTCCGGCCAGAGTACTGTGGATCACAGTTTCCTCTGTTGGACCATTTTGGCAGATTGGAGCAGGGCACTGGTCCTAGGACAGGGAAAGCTTTGTACTGAACAGGACATACAAAAAATTTCAAAAACATACCATGAAGCATCATTTAACTACATTCATGTTATTCCTGGTGGTGGTGCATTTAAGTTCTTCCTTTTTAAATAAGTTTCAAGGGTAATCTGTGGTATGGCTTGTCATGTTGGGATGGTAGTAATTGCTGACAGCTATGTTTATAATGTTAGTTTTGCCGAGAAAACATGAAAGTATATATTTCCCTTCTAATATGAAGTGTTCCCTGTTTTGCTGCAGTGATTCGTGAGAACTCTCTCTGACCTGAGTTGATGTTCTAGGAAATGTGGGTTGTGACATCTAGTTGCACCCTATACAGCGTTTATGATAAATAGTTATAATCAATTGCTGATTGACATGTTAACTCTTCTCTTGGAATTCAAAGCAGAAGTAACAGCATGTACATGTGCTTTGAGAATCTTCTCTTTGCTTATCCATCAGCTTTGATTGTCTCCCCTTTTTACCTTTCGTCACTGTTTTAGCAGCAAAAGCAGTGACAGTGATGTGTATCTGTACACATCATTAGCTCAAAGTAGAGTTGCATTTGACTGTGCGTGTGTGGGGACAGTAGTACTATCTTTTTGCTTTTTAATTTTCTACTTCTCGTTAGGTGACAAACAGTTTCAGGAAAGCAATTTCCTTCTCTTAAAATCAGATGCTTTAGTTAATACATGGAGGTGTTAGTGTGTGTGGAAGGTCTTATCCGCAGATGTTTTATTAAAACTGCTTTTGGAATTTGCAAGGCTGTCATGGTTGCCAATGAGCAGGAGTGCTTCCTGGCTAACTTAGGAACAAAAAACCCATTAAACATCAAAAAGCAGCATTACTGTGATGTATGGTGAAATTATTTTTTTTCCCCTTTAATTCTTTTACAAATTTTGAGAAGATAAAAATTCTACAGTGTTGAGTACATCTGCGCTATTGGTGAAAATGCAGCCAATATTTAGTGGAGGTATTCGCATAACTCAGAAAATCTATGTAAGTGATGCCTGTGTGGTTGCTTGGCACTTGCTATTAACAATACGTGTTTCCTTCTATGTCATTGTACTGCAGGTGAACATTAAAATGAGCATAAAAGGATTTATTTAAACTTCGTAACTTATTTAAATTGTGCAATGAAGAAGAGTGTTACTGTAAATGGTAATCAGGACTTCTGCACAGTTTATTATTATTTGGGCCTCTGCTAGTGAGACTCCCTTATTAAAGCTTGCTTTGCATGCGGTTTTCCATGCTCTTTAGGTTGTCATTCCACATGGCAGAGAAGTAGGCCTGTTACTAACTTGAACTGAGCAATGTTAAGTATGTGTTTTGCTGAGGTGAAAACTCAGAAAAAGAATTCAGAAAGTAATCAAATCACTTAAAATCGTATGTTAGAATATTTGAGGTTACAAAAGGTGGCATTGTCTCTTCTTATTCCTAATAAACAAGCATTTTGTTCTAGTTGCTTAGGTCCTGTTGAAAATGCCTAATATAGAAGAGGTTGGCATATGATGGTTGTTGATGATTCTGCCAATGACTGATTAAAAACTAAAGTCAGGGTAGTGCTACTTAGCAGGAGAACCAGAGCTGGGATGAGACGTGGAAAGCTAACAAAATGTGCTGCCCAAACCCCATGCGTTTTTGGTTTGGTTCCCCTTCCCCCCTCCCTCCCCCCCCAGTCTAAAGGTTCTCTATTTCTTTGGTAACTTTCCAAGTGTTTTCTCATGGTTTCCTTGCATTTTCAAGTGGCAGAACATCTTTGCAAATGACCAGAGACCTTTCCATGCAGCTCCCACGGCCTGACCAATGCATTGAAAGAAGTCGCAGCAAGACTTACCCCAAAAGAACGCAACAGGCAGGTAAGTTCTTCTCTACTGGGCCTATGCAGAGATGTTTTCTTTAGTCTTTGGTTCATTTAGTTTTTGAGACAGGACTCAGAACTGCCACAGTGTCCTTAAGATTCTCTCAGAATGGATTCTCTCATTTGTCTTAGGTCAGTCTTTATACCTGGCATTAACTGGATCTAAACCCTCCAACTTCGTGGGTAAAAGAGATGGGTACTAAAACCCCGTGTCTGTAGGTCTAATGTAAAGCATGAAAGGGAAGTTTGAAAACAGACAGCGAGAACGTGTTTTTTTCAGGAGTCATGTTTCTTACTGAAGAATTTTATACCTTGACTGGTATTCTATTTTTCCAGCTGCTTGACCCAAGGTGTCTCTCTTACACATCCTTTTACCAGTTCAAGGGCACTATCTCTTTTATTTTGATATTAAGTGGAACAAAAGTTAGTGACGTGCCCCCTGCGATTTTAACATACTTCAGATGTGTGAGCTGCAAATCTGTTCTTCATGCTGAAGATGCATGGGAATGCAGCTTCAAGGGAAGCTGGAAGTTTTTACAGATGTTAGAGGAAACATGCAAAATTAAACACAGATCACAGGAGTCATGCCCAGAATAATGGATATTTTCTGAAATACAGTAATAGAGGCAAAAAGCTTTTCTAAGGTGATGCTCCAGTTCTCTACGTGACTATGTGTGTGTGCTTAGCTTCATCTATGACAGCAGTCGCACGGATTTCTGTCGTACTTATGCATGGAGTTAAGTGTATGTGTGGTGTGTCAGCAATTGGAGAAAAAACTTGTCTGGCCTTTAAAACGTAAGCAGATTTCTCTTTCTCATGGGCTAATATGGCATTATAAACTTCTGAGGGTCACCATTGTATAAAGAGAGCAGGTATATATATGTGTAAACTTGCCATGTTTATTCTGGATGCTGTCTAACATACGTGTTCTTCCTTTTAGCTGCAGTGGTTCTTAAAGTTTAGTGTAATTAAAAAACACAAGCAGTTTACAACAGAACTATTTGATTTTATGTTATGATTTTATTTTATTTTATTTTAACAGAAGGATTGCTTTTCTTTCCTTGTTGATTATGGTATCTTTTGGTTGTGTCTGCAGTTGTTGGTTGGTGCCCAAACGGACAAGGAACTGTTCACCCTTGAGCCTAATGACTTGGGCTTTTGTTCAGCCATGCTGTCCCATTCTTTGGGTGGTAGTTCAAGATGAAGAACATTTTCCACCTCATTAGTCTCCAGTTCAGTTGTGCAGAAAATACTGTAGCCTGTTCTGCTGGTGTAATGTGATGCAGAATTTTCCAGGCAACACAGGAGAGTTGTTTAACTGGATTTAAATGCTTTATTTTACTTTAAAATAAAATGGCTGCTTTTTCACCATTTTACTCATATATACTCATATATATGTAATATGTATCACCCATCTGAGTTATTTTGCTTTTAGTTCAACTTGATTGATCACCCATGTGTTCCAAGTGTGCAGTCATTTTCCACTGCAGCAGGTGTATTACGTCAAATATTTTTAAGTTTAATGAATTTTATTTCCCGCTGAATATATGAGTAAAGGAAGAGAGCAGTGTCATTCAAATTCCATCTGTCCCTGTAAATGAACATATTTTTTACTCTTTATTTTTTCATTTTGTGTTCAGGTATTCATGGTGATAAATGTCTAATATTCTTTCAGCATTTAAATAGGCTTTCAGATGCTGGAGGCACTACTTCTCCCTATGTCAGACACCATGCGACAGTCTATTGCTTGTCACTAGGAAAAATGCACCCTCTTTCACCTAAACTAGTTCTTGGATGTAGTCAATTCTGTTTCACACAATAACTCATATCTGATTGATATATTTTAAACATCACTTCTTTAAAAATACTAACAAAATGTAGATTTTATTTTTATAGAATAATTTTTATCTTGGAAATGAGCCTGGTAGTGTAAACAGTTTCACAAGTTTCTTAAAACTTTCCCTCACTGAACTGTTTGAGAGAAGAATATGACATTTCTTCTTAAAATAAATATTAGTTTTCCATAGTGAGAATATGCCAGTGGTTATCATTGGTGGCTAGTCCTTTGTTCTTGATTTCGTCTTTCTAGTATGGTGTAATAAGATTAAATATGCCTTGTTCAACATTTTAAACAGGGTGATTTAGTTTTCACATACTACTTATTTCTTAAAGTTTTTCCACCAGATGCCAATTAAATTAGGATCCAGGTGGACATGGCTTATAATTAACATCTTGGAATGAAAGTCTGAGTTCCTATTATTCTCCCAAAATGCAGTAACCATTTACAGATAGTTCTTTAACAGTAACTTCCTCTCACCTTCTCCAAGTGCAGCATCTTTCTTCACCTCCTACTTCACTTTTATTCCTTTTCTTAAGATTGCAAAGTCAAGTGCATGACAGACTTACTTTTTTGCAGCCAGTTCAATTAGCCATTCTAGTTTTATATTGTTTCTTATCTCTTGGTGCCAGTAATGGGACTAGCCACAGTGCTGGTTTAGGGAGCAGTTACCTGAACCAGTAGCTACAAAAGCATGGCTATAGCATATGCAGTCTTCATTGCCTCCATCGTATGGTGTGAAGTTCCTACAGCCTCTAATCTCTGGCATCTCATTAAAGTGTTTTCCCTTGTTCCTTCTCTTTGTATACATGCTCTAGTGTTATGAACAGTTACATAGTATGTGTTCTGATCTTTTTTTTTTTCCCTGTCACCTGAAGGTAGGGGATACCTTCTTTTGCACAACTGAACCTCTAATGTATGTATGTCTCACTGGTCCATTAAAGTATGCTGGAGTCATTAGGAGTGCAGCCGCTTGGTGAACTCTGGGTTTAGAGTTGGGCTAGATTTCAAGACAGTGACAGAAAATACATACTTTCATGTTTTCAGTAAAAATATTCGTGCTTTAAGAGAGGGATTGGTGGAGATGATACTGTGAGGAGAGAGAAACCAACTTTCTTGTATAAAAGCCACTGCCATTGACTGATTCCTCTGATAGGCTAGACAGTGCAGACAGTTTGGCTTTATCATGGCAGATTGTTTTCCTAGAATCCAGATTACAGTGGATTAAAATGCTGTAAACTCCCTTTGGTCATTTGCTTAATATGCTTCATATCTCAGGTGTTCTAGGGTTAATGTAAAAAACATCAGGAAACTTCAATGGCTGTGCAACCAATGTTTTTATATTGGTTATTTTTTTTTTAATTTTGTATTTTGTGTATGGTTAGGTTGGTGTTCAAGTTGGTGTTCAGTTGGAGAAGGGTTTCTTTTGTTCTATGAAGTCTTAGATGTGAGGTATGCGTAGCTTGTTTTGTTTGCTTATTCTTCTATTACATTTCAGCTGAGAGGGAATTACAGTTGCATTTTGTTCTGGTTGCATATGATAAACTCAGCGTTGGAATAGGATCTCTCATTCTGTTTTACCCTCCTAGGGCAGGACTGATAATGTTCAGATTTTGCAGTATGTGTTGTGTGAAGGTGTTCATTATTTTGGCTGAATGCTGCCTGGGAAAAGCTTCTTGGGAATGACCCTTCTGGGCAAACATTGATGTGACCAGACCTGTTACTGTAGGTCTGAGTTTATTCAGTAGTGAAAAACACATTGCTTAGGGTTTCTTGTTTGGTAGCTGAGGGCTTGATTTGTTTCTGCCTTGCACATGGGGTAGTTGTATAAACTAGTGTAAAGTACGTGCTACCATTCTGATTTAAAAGCCATGTGGAGAATTCGGAACGGGTGTTAAAATTAAAATACTGTCTGTACTGTAATAGTCCCTAAGCGATCACAGACAGTCACATTCCCTGCCCTGACTAACCTTACATATTACCACAGACACCTATCATTACCCTTGCTTTGCCAACCTCAGTCATGGTAACTAGAACCATTGGTTGGCTCATTCAAACTCACAGATCTTTTCCCAGAAAATTTTGAGACTGGGTTTGAGAGTTAAATTTTAGAATTGGGGTAATTTTGTCTATTTACTTATTTATTTACCTTGAGCTTTACACTTTAAAATTTATTTTAAATCCTAGGTTTTGTAAAAGGATGGATGTGACTGCTTCTGCATTTCATGCATGTGGTGCAAGATGCACAAACCCTTAAGGCTATGGGATTGGAAACTAGTTTGGCAGATAAACGTTAACACAGAGGAGGCTATGCTAGTGTAGGCATATGGAAGTGCATTCATTTTTATAGGCTTTTAGTAACACACAGTGCAAAGCATGAGCTCTTCTTACACATTTTCCTTTTAATCACACTATTTACTGCTTTCATGAATTGATTTAAATATAAACAGTACTTTCAGATAACGTCAGTGAAATGGCTTTAGTTGATAAACAGACATGACAAGTTAATTAGCTTGCCAGGCTCCTGAGGTTTTGGACATTTGAGTTTTGAAAATGTAGTGGTCTATTTAAATTGAATGCACAGATCAGCATCAAGGAGGCTGTAAAAGGGAATCAAACTGTGTGCATTCACCTTACTGGAAAAGTTCAGTACACTTGAGACCCTCTGCAGCATACGAGGCATCTGCAGAAGACTAGCAGATTTAACCTGCAGGAAAGGCAGTTGATGGCCAGAGAAGATGCCTTAGGGTATCTCAAGTATTTGTGCTTAAGTAGAGAAGAGTCCAGAGACTTTACATGTCAAAGGGTTGATATGGAAAGTTGAGGGAGATTGTGGAGAAATTCTTTCTCTGGGATTGTAGAGAAAGCTTACAATGCAAAATCTTACCACAGTTTAATTTAAGACGTTAAGATGTTTTAGCCAAACAAAAAGGCTTTGAGTTTATACCGCTATATTAACTACACTAAGATGCTGTTGCTTGCTTGTCCTAGACGACATGATATTTCCTTGTTAGCAGTCTTCCAAGGCTTCAGTCAATCTGTTTCATTATCTTCAGTGAACATGCTCAGAATATATCCTGTTCAGAGCTGATAATACATCATCAGCTGTATTGCTTTGTTTTACTTAGCAGTTGTTTCTGGAGGTGGTAACAATTTTGTAAGAAATAACTGAAATTGCTGGTTATATGGAAAGAGAATGTGTGATCTGAAGGAAAAATACAAACTAATATTAATAGCACAGCATGGAAACAAAAATCCGAGTGCCAGTAGGACAGACTTGTATTGATGATTAATAAATTACTACATAACAAGCTGAACAGTTCTCTTTTTGTTCATGATACTGAACAAATACATATATAGAGCATAATCTTATCATGTGACTTACTAACCCAGTGTGAAATACACAGATTCCTTTGACCCTCAGTGCTCCTCAGTCATGAATATAGAGTCAAAATGGAAAGAATGTTTTGCACAAAGTTGGAAACCAGTCAGGTAACTTTCAAATATTGGCTGAAAGTTTCTGACTCATTGAAACTGATGCTTAGGTACCGTCAGAGTATTAACTCTTTCTTGTCTCTATTTACATTATTAATTTTATAATCCATTGATTTACAGTTATTATTTTCCTGGTCATAACTTAGGATATATTTATGTTGTCTTGCACTGTGTTACTACATCAATTTGAAATGGTTTCTTAGAACAAACATTCTTACTTTGCTTTACCATTTAATCTAACAATTGTTTTAGAGGCCATAGTTACTGCATTGGGGATCCTCAAGCTTTTTAGTAGCCTGAATTCTACTGATGCTTTTCTTCTTATTGTTGAGTAAGCAGAGTATTCCTTCCTGGTGGCACTGTCATAGACTCAGTTTGAGAACAACAGCTTCAAACCCTTCTGTCTCCTGTGCAAGAGTAATAAATTCCCCCATGTTAAACATGTTAAAGTTTCTTAGGAGGGTAAGGCACAAAAGTGTGATCTTTATACATCCTTAGTAAGTAGTGCATGTACCAGATGTCTTGTGTATCATATCTCTCATGCTACACTGTATTCAGTAGGTGATTATACTGAATAGGGGTGCAAGATATTTGCTACAGGACTATTCTGTGGGTTTTTTTTCCAGGATCTAAGAACATGAGCCAGATTACTACAAATGGGGAAAATGAAGGAACTACCAAAATTATTGCGCCTTCCCCAGTGAAAAGGTACGTAGACCAGAAGTTCCCTTCTAGCTTCGAAGACATTGTGTATTGCACTGGATAGAGGAACACATTTAGTAATGATTAGTAACAGCTTATCATAACCTTAAGTTCAGGATTGGCTGACAAAGGTCAGAGTGTTGCCCAGTAATTAATTTTAACAAACCCCAATCTTCTGATGAACCTGCAACAGGGATTCCAAGTGACAGATTTTGGAAAGCGACAAACTGGGGCAAGTTAATGGGAAAGTAAACAGACCCAGTTTTAAATATGAAAAAACAGACAATGACCCACTGGGCAGTGGTCAGGGTAGTTGTGTGAAGTTCTGTGTGCCTCTCCCCCAGGAGCTGTGGGCTGGCTGGCAGGGCCCTCAGGGCATAAGTTTTCTGCCCCTTTGCAGGGCAGGCTCTGCTTCCCATGTGTGGAGGGAAGAGCTGGGCATGGCCTCTCTTCCAGCAGTGCTGTTAATCTTGGAGTCCGTTTCCTGTTACACCATTAATCCAGAACGAAGCTCATGAGTGTTTGTGCTGATCCTTGGGAGCAGTGCTGTGTTTAATGAATCCTTGGTTATTATGCGCATTTCAGAGAAAGAGCTGAGGCTCAGATTCAGAAAGGGATTTATATCCCCCCCCCCTTAATTTTAGGTGGAATTCGGGTGCCTGAATAAAAAAAGAGTGATTTGACAAAACAGTGAGTAGAAAACTCAGCACCTAAGTTTTTTGCTTGGTTGCCTGAATGTCTGTCTCTGCATGCCTCATACCCTGACAAGTTTTTTTGAGCTGAATAACTTTGTCCTTATCTCTCCATTGAAGCTGTGTGCTTCAGGTACTGGGTATCTGGACTGACCTCTGAGAAAGGATCTTAAAGATTTACTGCAAATTCTTAGTGGATAGTGCCTAATAGGAACACTTGACCTTCCTAATAGGAACAGTTGACCCAGAAAAGAAGAGCTGAGTTGAATTGCTTCTTCAATAAGAGAGGAATTCAGTCAAAAATTCTAACCCTTAGAAAATTATACTGATCATGGGTTAAAAGAAAGATTATAATTTTGTCATTTGGTCATGCTGAAGCTAGGCCATTCAGGAGAAAACGATACAAAGTTATATACATACCTGCAGGGAAGGTGCAAAGAGGACAGAGCCAGGCTTTTGGTGCCCAGTGAGAAGACCAGAGGCAATACGCACAGACTGAAATGCAGGAGGATCCCTCTGAACATCAGGAGACACTCTCACTATGAGGGTGGGTGAGCACAGGTTGCCCAGAGATGTATCTCCAGCCCTGGAGATAATTCAGCAAGCGTCTGGGAATGGTCCTGGGCAACTGGCTCTGAGTGACTGTGCTCAAGCTGAGGGTTGTATGAAGTTATTTCCAGAGGTCCCTGCCAACCCCAACCATTCTGTGATTTGTTAGGAGGCAGAAAGGTACAAAGCAAGAAATACCTTTATTCCATAGATATCATACTGCAGATAATCATACTGGGAAGGAGTAGTAGCTCTTTACTACAGCTTGTGCTACAAATGCTGTGTATAAATTTTTAGCAATGAACAGTTAAAAAGAAATGGATAAGCCTGTTGTACAGGAAGAACCAAAATAGGGGGCTTTCAACATGGCAGCTTCAAGGTTTCTGAGTTTAGTTTCTTACCTTTTAAACTTGACAGTTTAAATGCAATTCACAGGCAGATTCTCACTGAGTCACAGTTTTAAACAGTGATAATCACTTACATCAAAAAAGTGTTGGAAGTTGTTTTTCTTGCGTTTAGAAATTTATTTGTTTTCCCTGTCTCTGTCTGCACATGTAAAACACCTTTTGGGTCTGCCAGCCTTGGTGTGCATGACAGGCAGCACACATACTTCGTGGAGTGCTCATAGTTTGGTAGTTAGTTTACTCCATCCTATGTAATTCTTGCGTTAATTGTTGGTCATGTTCGCAAAGGAGCTTTCTGCAGCTCTTATAAGCGGAGTTTTCCTAGTTTAACATGTCATTCACAGTTGAGATGCATAATTGGTCACTTCTGCATAAGTGATATAAATTCAAGGTAAACCATAAAAACCTGCAACAACAGTAATCTCACATGAAATCCAGATTCTAACCTTTTTAAGTACTTTGAATGAACTCAGTTCCTTTTGCAGCTGTATTCCTGGAGATAGTACTAGTGTCTGAAGAGCTGCCATGCTGTAGCTCTCTACCTGTTAAGTGTGTGTCTGCTCTGAATGAATAATGGCCTAGTAATCTAATGCAGTGAAATCACCTCCCAGCATAATTTCCCTTTCCCTTTCTCCCTTTTTTAAGATTTGAGAACACCCTTCAAATTTCAAGCACAGCTTCAATCTAAGTATTGTTCAACAGTTCATGCTATGCAAAACCAATTGGTTTTAGCCAATACAGGATGGAAATATATTTACCTGAGTTACTTGCTTGGTCTGTAGTAGGCACATATTTTAAAGCTTGGGAATAGATTGTATGCACATCTGAGTCAATAATTAATGGATGCAGTATGAAGAAAATTACTTGCCTGATAAAGGGTACTATAGCTTTGCATTGTGTTTGCTATGTGTGAATTAAATGATTAACTCAGTGACCTGTAGTAACCAAAGGCTGAGGTTAAAAGTGGGTTAGTGAATTAATGGGTTGGAAGTTGTGAAACCTGACACTGTGAGAATGGTAGGAGTAAAGGAAGAATTGGAGCATTTTGCTGTTCCCCCCCAACCATTTCCAATAATATGATGGGATACTGGTTGCAAAGATTGATAAGTCTCTTAAGCCATATGACTATCTTGACTGTCCTGATACTTTACCTTGCAGCAGTCAGTAAAGACAGCTCTTTCATATTGTCAAATCTATGCTCGGTGTCTAGCAAACAGAAAACATACGGCGTTACTGGGGAAGGAATGAGAAGAATATGCTACTCTGTGAACTTGTGTTCTGTCACGTTTTGAGTAGTTACCATCCTTCCTGCCTTTATTGTCCTTGTCTTGAAGAAGGTGCTGTAGTCCTGGAAAAATGGTAAAGAAAATGGATAATAAGGATAATTAGGGGTATGTGGTGCCTCCTGTGCTGGGAGAGATTAAATATTCTGTAATTTTTCACTTGGAAAAGAGATGGAACAGTTGTTAAAAATGTATTAAAAAAACTATGGCGTGGAGTCTGTGGTTAGGGAACCATCATTCATAGGTTCTTTCTGTAAGCACAGAGGTAGTGAAGAACACAGGATGGAAGTTTTGAGCCAGGTGGAATTTTTGAAATAAAATTAAATAATTGTTTATGGCATAGTTAAATACTGGAGCATACTGCTACCAGGCACTATTTAAGCCAGAAATTAAAAATGTTCAAGTGGTGTTTGAGAAGATCTATGGAAGAAAGTTCCATCAAGTGTTATGTAGAATAAAAAGCAGATAAAGCCTCTGATTCAGTAATTGGTTAACTGCATATTGTGGAAGACTATGAGAGCATATTGTATATTAGCTCTATTAGACTTTTTGCCTAAACATCTGCTCTTGTTTGCTCTGAGTGCTGCCATAATTATGAGCCTGTAGATCTGATTTACAGGTCCTTCTTTCCTCCCCTGACCCTTCCTTCCAATTTCTCTTCCTAGGAGAGATTAAATTCTTCAACACAGCAGCTGTTTGCCCTCTTCACATAGCTGACAAATAGCTGTATATCAGGGTGGGTCTCTGTAAAGACTGTGTGCCTTTATGATTAATTTTTAAGAGGTCTGTGGGAGAGAACATGTGAACTATACACTATGGGTTTTTAAAAAATAAATATATCTGTACTTTTATTTAGCTTTAAAAAGATGAAAAATGAAAACAGCCCAGAAACACAAAGAAGTAAAACAAGTGCACCATGGGAGGAAAATGGCCCACAGAGGTAAGGCGAGGCATGAAGTTCAATAAAGTGAAATGCAAGGTGTACACCTGGGTTGGCGCAGTCCCAGGCACAGCTACAGGTTGGGCGGAGAAGAGATTCAGAGCAGTCCTGAGGAGAAGGACCTGGGGGTGTTGGTCAGTGAGAAACTGAACGTGAGCCGTTTTCAGTGTGCACTTGTAGCCCAGAAAACAGATGTGCTGGTCTGCATCAAAAGGAGTGTGACCCGCAGGTCGAAGGAGGTGATCCTGCCCCTCTGCTCTGCTCTCATGAGACCCCACTTGGAGCACTTTGAGCAGTTCTGGTGTCTTCAACATAAAAAGGACATGGAGTTGTTGGAGCAAGTCCAGAGGAGGGCCATGAGGATGATAAGGGGGCTGGAGCACCTCCCATACTAAGACAGGCTGAGAAAGTTTGGGTTGTTGATCCTGGAGAAGAGAAGGCTGCGTGGAGACCTCATAGCAGCCTTCCAGTATCTGAAGGGGGCCTACAAGGATGCTGGAGAGGGACTGTTCACTAGGGACTGTAGCGATAGGACAAGGGGGAATGACTTCAAACAAACAGGGGAAGTTTAGATTAGATATGAGGGAGAAGTTCTTTACAGTGAGGGTGGTGAGGCACTGGAATGAGTTGCCCAAGGAAGTTGTGAAAGCCCCAACCCTGGCAGTGTTCAAGGCCAGGTTGGGTGGAATCTTGGGTGACACGGTTTAGTGCGAGGTGTCCCTGCCCATGGCAGGGGGGTTGGAACTAGATAATCTTAGAGTCCTTTCCAACCCAAACTATTCTATGATTTTATGATTCTATGATTCTGTGATTATGTGATTCTGTGATTCTGTTATGTCCTAGGTACTGTGCAGTGGTAAACATCATGCCATGGCAAAAGGTTGAAAGATACTGATATATTAATGTATTAACAGATCATAATATTATGATCATGATATATTAATGTATTAACAGATCATAATAAATCTGTATTGTATATAAGAAGGTAGGTCCTGTCATGGATAAATAATCAGGTAAAAATTTGGAAAGTAGGTGTAGAAGGAAGTGGTCAGTGGATAAAAGTCACCAGTGGCTTTCCGCAGAGATCTGTTCATAGGTCTCTGCTATTCAGTATATTTGTCAAAGACCTGGAAAAGGGATGATACAACTTGGTGATGGGACAGAATTGGTTAGGGTAGTTAGAGTGAAATTTGTCTGTGAAGAGTAACAGAAGGACTTGAAAGTATGAGTGGGGAGTTGCTAGATGGTAGATGATGCTGAGTCAGTAAGTGTAAAGAGAGATGCTTCACAGCAAATAAATACCTCTAGATTTCTGAGTAAAATGAGGTGCTGTGGAGTTACGATGGATAATTTCATGAAAACATGAACTATGTAGCAGTCAGAAAAAACAATTAGCAATTATTAGGAAAGCAGGAGGAAAGCACTATGACATTACATAAATTTGTGGATCACCTGTTTGCTTCATGAATTATGAGTACAATTCAGATGTCCCTACCTCAGGAAAAGGGTTGCAGTGGGGCAGCAAGGGTAATCGAAGGTGTGAATGACTGTGCAGAAATCTGTACAAGGAGCAAGGGCATAGGCCAGGCAGGACTCTTCCTTCAGTCTGGGAAAGAGATCTGTCAGGGGACGTGGTCTGGAAAATCAAGAGTAGTACAGAGAAAGGAGAAGGAGATCAGGATTGTGTTTTTCCAGCGTAAGAACTTGGGAGTTTCAGATGAAGCTATTAGAGGTCGTTTAAAAGGGTTGAGAAAGGTAGTGAGTACTGACTTGCTGTGAGTAGAAGACCTGTGGTCCTCCTTTACAAGGGATGCTGATGTTCACTGGATTTCTGGGAGAAGCTGGTTGAGTTATGGGAGAGAAATCCCCAAGGGCTTCTGAAGACAGAGGTATAGCTGCTGGCTCACAAAGTCCCCTGGACTGGGAATAGTGGGGTACCAAGAGAGCTCTGGGGCGCTGACGTATGTGTTCAACTTTTAGCTTCCTGTAGGTGGTTGCTTGTGGCCACTGTTGGAAACAGGCTTCTGAACTAGACAGCATGTTAGGTGTAATCCAGTAGAGTCCTGCCTTTATGTAATGATTCAGATCTACAGATGGTGTGTCTTTTGGGTACTGTGATGATTTGCCCTGTAAACATCGAAAGTTTTCAGACACAAGGCAGTGTGTGCAATCATACTCTTGCTAGGATAGACATTTATTTCTGATTTTTAAAGAAGTGGTATCAGTTTGTTGCATTATGGCTCCAGTGTTAAAATTGCTTTCAGGATAGCAGGAAATTTAATCCCCCAGCAGCCAAAGAATGGTAAGATTTTTTGCAATTTCATCTATTCTAAAGGAAGATGCAGTTTTAGACACATAAGCAGACTGTATGCTGCACAGAGACTTTCACAGCCTCTAATAGTAATTCTCATTGAGATGAACTGTGGCAACTTTTCAGCTGTGCAGATCAGTGCTGTAATCAGCAGTCTGCAGAAGCAGGCAAGAAGAATGTATTCAGTTTGAAGGCTGGAGGGTTTAAGGAAAGCAGAGAGATACACCTTAACTGGAATTGGGTGAGACTATTATATTTACCACATAGCTGTTGTGCGAAGGGCTAAGTAATGTTAGATAAAGATGTGTGATTGAGTTTAGCATCCTTCCTCAGAAAGGTTGTGGAACATCAATAGACCACTTTAGAGTGATATATACTCCATCACAGGCTCTGTTACACTGTTGGAAGAGGCCTTTACACTTCTGTAGGAAGGTATCGCAGGATAATATATACAGGCATTTGATAATCTACATCTAATTTTGTAACCACCCAACCTGTTGGATCTCACACAGCCTAAAGTACATAACCTGAAGTGTGGAACATCCACACCATTGGCAGAGGTTTGTGTGGGTGAACATCAGAGAGCTGGAGCTAAAATTTTTTCATGGTCCCAAGCATTATTCTGTGATGAAGATGTATGTGATGACGGGAATACCGTTTTCATATTTATACCTATGGAAAACAGAAAGAACAGAAGTACATTTGATTGCCTTGTTCTGGGTTGGATAACTCATTCTAAAGCACAGAAATTTTATTATGCTAAAAGAATATATATACTTGGTTCTATATTTTGTAAGCTTAGAGCTGTTGGCTTTGCAATGCTAAGAGGTCTTGTCTACTTTTTTAAGGTTCAATGTAAAATACTTATTGCTGGAAAGCAGTACTGTCTGTATTTGCATATGTGTGTGAGTCTTCTCATTTATCTGACTCTCAGTCACCTGGCCTAACTGTCCTGGAAGTTTTAAAGCCACCTGTTTGCTCTTCCTTTTTAACCGTAGTGGGCTGTATAATTCTCCCAGTGACTGCAATAAATCACCAAAGTTTCCTTACTCTCGGCGGCGCAACCCATCAGGTGGCAGTGAGAATGAGTCTGAGCAGCCAGTCCGGAGGAGGTAAGAGCCCTGGGGTTAATTAACTGTTAGCTTCTCACAGTTGAAGTCTTGCAGGCTCTGTGTTTAGTAAACATTCTTGGAGATGCAGCTGGTTCCTAGGAAGAAGGGTATTATAAGGGCCAGTTATTAGTCAAAAAAAGACCAAGAATACCAGATCTGCTTTTGAAAAGGTAGGCTTTTGCTTTTGTGCTGTTCTGGGTACTAGGAAAATGATGTTAACATATGAGAAATTGCATTATTGGCATATGCAAGATCCTTTCAGTTGCTGCAGCTGGTTTTCTGTAGTGAAGGAAAAGAATGATGTATGTTGTTTGCTTGACAATGAGCTGATAATACAGAGCAGTATTTTCAGTGCATTGTTTCGCTTAAGTGCAGCAGAGATTAAATGAATGAGCTACTTCCGTTGCTGAGGTAACCTGCTGCTGTGATCTGTTGTGAAGTATAGCAAGCATAGCTCCTCTCCCATATTCATTGCCTTTGAGCCAGCACGTTGGGAGTTATGTCTCCTTCTGACATCTCTGAAGTGATCATCTGTTTGGCTTTCAAAGCCTGAAAGAGATCTCTGATGATGCCACGTCTGTGAGGAAATCTAGTGTGATGTGGAGCTTTTATTATTGTCATGTTTCTGTGCTGCTCCAGAACTTTTATCTGCCATTAGCTGTCTAGAACAGGAGTGAAGAAACTCACCTGTGGTGTATGCTTTGTGACCTCTTGCCTAAGTTAGAATCACTGTAGCTCTGTCTTAGGTCAACAGAGTTATGTTGATTTACCGTTAGATAGAGCCCTTGAAAGTAATAGCAGTGTGTTTCCTGAATGGATTTTCTGATTCATTGCTAGCTTATTCTGAGGACTTGCTGGGCTTTGTGAAAACAAAGGAGGTAGGCATGCGCAGTGCGGAACTGTCTTGTACCAAGAACAGTGTTTGTGCACTATGTAGTAGGAAATCTTTTGAGATGCAGAGTGTTTATCATCTGGGAATTGGCTGGTCTACTCAGTGGACAGGTGGTCATGCCAATAGCAAGTTTTCTCTTGGGCCACCACACCAACAATATGTTTTTTATATGTGAGACAGCGAAGACTGACAATAGTAGCTAGATTCTAACCTAATTATGTCTCCCTGAATCTTAGTTTTATTAATGCACTTTCCTTTTTCAACCATTTAATAACAATAGCCATGTTGTTTATGCACTTTTTACTGGAATTAAGAGGAAGACATCAGGCTTTGCTATGCTGGAAACAGTAGGAAACTCTAAAAGCCAGCATACTGTGCTTAACCTTGCAAGTCAGGGGTTTGCAATGAGAGTTTGAATGGGATCATGCCTTTACAATTTACTATAGAGGTTTTAATTTTAAAACAAGCACATGCCTTTTCTCTGCCTTAAATGATGCTGAAGAAAAAACTTTGGTAAAATTTTGCTTGCTTTTTTTTTTTTATTTTGTTTTGTTTTTGAGGTGGGTATTCTTGTGTATTTGTAATAAGTGACCCAATGGTATTTCATTAAAACCTCCTTAATGTCACAGGAGAAATCAAAACAGTGGCGAAGATTCAGATTTAAAGCAAAGAAGAAGGTAAATATGTAATTTATAGCAGCCAGATAGCAAAGGTACTAATCGTATTTTAGTTCCCTGAATTCCCTCCCTTCCTTCCTTCCCTCTCCACCATCTTCTTAAATTTTTAAAAGGCTTGTTGTGTTCCACCCATTTATTGTTTTCTTTCTTATCTTGCTTTTGCTAAAATACTCTGTAGCACAGATTCCTCCAAGCTGCCTTGCACATTGTTGTTACACCATGCTAGAAGCAATTGGTGGAAGTTTACTAAAGGCTTTTCTGCAACTTGAAGGTCAATTCCAGAAATTTTAGCTTTTGGATTTTGTGTCTGCAAATTTTGTGTTGAGTTCTTTAGCCTCCCAGTCCACTTCAAATTAATCTGTTTTGAAAGCAAGTGTACCATCATTTGAGATTAATTATCATCTACGAGGTAGGTGCAGAGGCATATGCAACTTGTTACGATGTTCTCACTGTCTTGCACTTTTTTTTTGCTGAACTCTTTTCTTAAGCTTCTGTTTTTCTTCCTTGTGCAGTCATGACACATTTCCAAATAATGTCTGTGTGAATTCGTATGTGCCCTTCAACAACTTCACCTTTTGTTGGATTTTTGCATCTGGAGTTCTCCAGTTGTGTTTTAATAGAAGCTTTGAGTTAATGATTTTCTCATGTATGAGAGGGGGGAGTCTGGACTCCATAGACTGAGGCATGTAATGACAGCAATTTGATAAAATCAACCATAATGAGGAAAAATCATGAGACTCTCAGCTGTGTCAGAATGACTTCTGTAAGAGTGTCCTATTTTCAGAGACAGAGGGTAGAGTGATATGTCTCTGACCAGATAGGACACTCCAGGGAGGTCCATGCTGCTGCTACTCTGTTCCCTAGGAAGTCTTTCTTGTCTTTTCTCATCCTCTTTGGTCTCTTCTCCCTAAACTGTTAGAACATGTAGTAAGCGGGTGCTTGTCAGTAGCCTTCAACCTTTTAACGAAGTGCTTCCCATTACCTGTGAGCTATACGTAATGAAATGCATTCACTTCTCAGCTTGTTTGAAGTGTAGTTTAACAAATCTGTTCTCTTAAAAAAAGTGGCTAATCAAAGAGCAGAAGGCACAAGAAAGTATATGTGTCTGACAGCAGCATCAGGCGTTATCCTCTTATATCTCCTATTCCACCCCCAGAGACCACAGAAGAAAATTTCTGTTTTGAATTACAGCAAACCCATCACCAATTCTAAGTCTTGATATCCTAAATCCTTCTAGGCCAACACATGTTGGCTCCATTAGTCAGCTGGGCCATCAGTGTCGCAAACAGGTCTATCTTTGGGGGCATTCAGAGACCATAATCACTTTAAAGAATGGTCCAAACCAGGTTTTGATGAGAGTGCCATATTTTAGGACCTTGCCCAACAGCGTAGTACAGTAACAAAATCCTGTTTTCTAGGACCAGAGCCTTGACAGCTGGTCTGTCTCTTCAAAATGTTCATTAGTGGCAATCAGGGACTTAAGGGTCTGGCATAGTAGTGGCCAAGCACTTCCTTCGACTGAGAGGAGTTTGCCTATAGGTAGGCATATTCCCATTTTCTTCTTGAACTCCAGCATTGGTCTGTTCCACCAGTCCCAATACTCAGAGCCATAAATATCACCTCACCATGTGAAGCTTCACAGTCAGAGGTGATACAGAAGTAACTGCTTTATTTCTTTTTCCTCGTATGACACACCATCTCTGTAGCCATGCAACAAGTCATCCCAAAGCTGTGCTGGTACGTACCTGCAAGTGTGTGCACTTGTGCACTTCAGCCTTTCTGTGTTTATAGAGATCAGCAGAATCATAGTGTTAGTTGGGTTTTCTTCCATACTGCCTGACATTTGAAAAACTGTATGAACTTAACTAGAAGCCAGATGGAAGTTGAAGTGAATGGAAAAAGGCAGATCAGATAAGTATTTCGTTTTGCTTGCAAAACCAGAATTACTGTATTGTTGCTGTTGGGTGGCCCACAGTGTGCTAGAAGAAAAAAGCTAGAATGCATACAGCTTAAAGATGAAACATTTCACACCTCAGAGAAACATTTCACTGTGCATATACACAAAGGATGCTGAGAGATAAAATAAACCAAACAAAAATGCAGTGCAGTGATTTGAAAGGGAAATAGCACTTGCCTGACACTGCACTCTGGGTGCACTACTTTCAAAGCAGTTATTCCCAATCAGTTAACGAGAAAAAGATAATATGACTTTCAGGTGCAGACAAGTCCTCAGGAGTCTTTTAATTCTGTTTTTCCTAGTAATGGCTTTCCATTGTTGCTCATTCCTTGTTTAGAAACAGTACCTTTGATGTTAGTGTATAAATTCATCTTCAGATGTTGCTTTCCTCCTCTCCAGATCACGATCTCGCTGTAACACCAGCAGTGGCAGTGAATCAGAAAATTCCAACAGAGAGCATCGGAAGAAAAGAAACAGGTAACCTTTATACATTTTAGATATAGAGAAATGAAATGCAAACAAATGGAGATGCAGTTTTCTGAGATAGAAGGATTCTCACATGTGCTATATATATACAGTCATCCTGAGGCAGCTTAAGGTCCTTTCTTGAATAAGAAGAGAGGAAATTGCCAAAACTCATAAACATCATAGGTGTATGCAATGAATGCATACCCTCTTGTTTCTTGGGAAGAACTCATTAATGAACTGCAAATATGGGACATATTTACAGAGGACTTCAAATATTAATACAAATAAAGTGGATAATGCTGATGACGATATTCACAGCAAATACTCAAAAATTTCAAGTACAGAACTTTAGCAGAAAATAAGCTTTTGAAGAGAATAGTAAAAATACATTAATGGATCTGAAATTCAGTGTTAATTTTAAATGCATACATTTAATGGTACAAATATTTTTATTTTCCATAATGTAAAGTGTGGGCCTAAACCCAAAATGCATACAGCATCAACTTAGGATAGAACAGCAAGAGTTAATATCAAGTGATGCAAGCAAGTTTTGGGGTTTAGATCCTATTTTATTTCAATTCTATTTTTCTCATTGCTGATATGAAAAAGTTATCATAACTGTTATATCATAAAAGTTATCTACAATAACTGATTTATTGTAGAATAAAAATTCCTTTAAACTATGTTGCATTGGAGAATTATTTATGAAAATGTATTTTTAAAAAGCATATAAAATTTCTTCATATCAGTTAAACAGAGCATAAGATAAATGTCACGGGATGAAAGAGGAATTGTTTAAGGCAATTTTTCTAAGAAGCTGTCTGCAAAAGCTGCCATAGTGTCATGTTGCCTCACATGCAGTACTATGAGTGATCAATGATTTTCAGATAGTTGAAAACTCTCAGAAATAATTATTTGCTAGATAGTGCTGCAGAAGTACGCAGTGTAATAGTATTTTAAGCATGACATGCAGTGGTTAGAGATGCTAAAAAAATCATTGTGATGTTCAAATGAGGTGGTATAAAGTATGTCTAAGCCATGAGATTTCTTTGGAGTCTACTTATATTAGAGCACAGTCTTGTGTGGTAATTGGCTAACAATAACCTAGTGTGCATGGAAGATCTGTTTTCTGGGTGATTTCTGAAGTTGAAAGAAATACTGAGTATAGTTTCAGTGATGAGTGCATAAATGGTATCTTGTATCCTTTTCTCTTAGAACACTGTTGCCAGGTTATTTTTCATTGAAATTTCTTGTTCAGGGAGCTCCACAAGCAAGTGAAGAAAATTAGAAACTGACCACAAGAATGTTTTTAAGGGTTTCTTGCAATATAAATATTGAGTTGTAAGAAGGATTAAGTACTGCTTATAATTTTCTGAAGAATAAAAGGGCCTGTACTAACCCTTCCTCACCTCACAGAAAAGTGTTTAAAATTAAAAAGAAGAAAAATAAATCTGTGTGGATTGTTTTTATGTTTTATACGTTTTCAGAAATGTAAGATACATGAAAAATACCAATGTTAAGTGGTTACTTGAAATCAGACCAGCTAAAAAGTCATTATGAGTGTTAAAGTAAACAAGTACTAAATGAACTGGAAGTCTGAAGCTTGTTGCTTGTTATCAGGTGCAGGAAACTTACCAGTCATAATGAATTTCTGCATTTTGTTAGCTGCCAAAGGGGGAATATAATAAGCTGAAGGGGCACAGGCACTGAATAGCTTTTCTGTTGGGAGACGTGAGCCAGGTCTAACAGGGTTAAATGGGACAATATAATGATTGCTGTTACTAAAGTTTTACCTGTTGCATAGATTAATACTAATTTATTTCCCAGTATGATAATCAGATCTCTGGCACAAGCAGACACAAGGTTGTATTGTTTTATTGGAATAAAAGGACTGAATACCCACATTACCGAAAAGAATCTGCTTCTGATTATAGAAGAGTAGAATATATTGTTCACACAATAAAAGATTTCTGTGAACTATTTATCAGAAAAACCCCCCACCCAACTACCAGAGAAAAACTGAAAGGCAGGTGAGAACTTCTGAAGGTACAACACAGGAAAAAGATTAGGGAGAAACTCTTTTCTTGATCTTAATCAGACATTGAGGTTTCACTTCATTGTATGAATGTTTTAACGTAAGCAGATGTTCACATGAAATTTCAGAAGAACCTATGATGTGCATATTTCAATCGTAGAGGAAATGTATTTGCTTTTTTAAATGCTTTGGTCAAAATTTGTGGTGTGGATAAAAATATATTAAACTAGTAGACTCTGTGCTGCAGCATAGTCTTCTGCTTGACTACACTTTGAAGACCCATCTGATTAGAATCACAGAATGATTGAATGGTTGAGAATGGCAGAGTTATCTGGATGTCATCTTACGGAAGCACGGCCGCCCAGAGCCAGTTGCCCAGGACCATTCCCAGATGGCTGTGAATTATCTTCAAGGAGGGAGACTTCACCACATCTCTGAGCAACCTGTGCTGGTGCTTGGTAACACACACAGTGAAAAAGTGTTTCATGATGTTCAGAGGAAACCTCCTGTGTTTCAGAGTGTGTGCATTGCCTCTTGTCCTGCCAGTGGGCACCACTGAAGAATGCCTGGCTCTGTGCCCTTTGCACCTTCCCTGCAGGATCCTACCTGATCCTCCTCTTCTCTAGGCTGAACAGTTCCAGCTCTCTTGACCTTCCTCCTAGAAGAGGTGCTCCAGTCCCTTCATCATCTTGGTGGGCCTTTACTGGACTCTCCCCATTGTGTCCCTGTCTGTCTTATTCTGAGAAAACAGCGCCAGACCTGGCACTCCAGATTTCCCCTCACCAGTCTGAGTAGGAACTGAAAGATCATCTCCCTGGATCTTCTGGCAATAATTTGCCTAATGCTTCTCAGGATACCAAACACCTTCTTTGGTGGTCCTTTACTGGACTCTCCCCATTGTGTCCCTGTCTGTCTTATTCTGAGAAAACAGCGCCAGACCTGGCACTCCAGATTTCCCCTCACCAGTCTGAGTAGGAACTGAAAGATCATCTCCCTGGATCTTCTGGCAATAATTTGCCTAATGCTTCTCAGGATACCAGACACCTTCTTTGCAGCAAGGGCACATTGCTGGCCCGTGTTCAACTGGACTCTCCCCATTGTGTCCCTGTCTGTCTTATTCTGAGAAAACAGCGCCAGACCTGGCACTCCAGATTTCCCCTCACCAGTCTGAGTAGGAACTGAAAGATCATCTCCCTGGATCTTCTGGCAATAATTTGCCTAATGCTTCTCAGGATACCAGACACCTTCTTTGCAGCAAGGGCACATTGCTGGCCCGTGTTCAACTTGGTGTCTCCTGGGATGGCGCAGGTCCTGTTCGGCCAATCTGCTTGTTAGCTAGGCAGCCCCCAGTGCGTCCTGGTGCCTGGGACTGTTCTTCCCCTGAGCTGTAGGACTTTGCACTTCCCCTTGTTGAACTGCATGTGGCTCCTCTGAACCCATTTCTCCAGGTCCCCCTGGATGGCAGCACAACCCTCTGGTGTATCAGCCCCTCCTCCCAGTTTGGTGTCCTTTTGCTAAGGGTGTGCTCTGCCCATTATTCAGATTATTAATGAAGATGTTCAACAGGACTGGACCCAGTATTGACCCCCGGGGTGCACCCCTAGTTACTGGCTCCAACCAGACTGTGTGCTGCTGATCACGTCTGAATCTGGCTGTTCAGCCAGTTTTCAGTGCACCTCACTGTTTCTTCATCTGGCCCTTACTCAGCAGCTTCACTATGAGGATCTTGTGGAGAGACAGATCAGAAGCCTTCCCGAAGTCTAGGTAGACAATATCCACTGATCTTCCATAATCTACCAAGCCAGTCATTTTGTTGTAGAAGTTTTTCAAGCTAGTAAATATGTGCTTGCTATTCCTGGTTACTTTCTTGGCCTTCATGTGCCTGGAAAGGGTTTCCAGGATTTCTGGAGATCAAGGTGAGGCTGACCAGCTTGTAATTCTCTGGCTGCTCCTTCTTGCTGTCTTTGAAGACAAGAGTGACTTTTGCTTTCCCCTAGTCTTTGGGCACCTCTGTCAATCACCATGATTCTTTAGAGATCATTGAGAGAGGCCTTGCAATGAAGTCAACCAGCTGGCCCACTAACTTACAGATGCCCAGTTTGCTTAAGTCTTCCTTGACCTGATCCTCTTCCACCAAGGCTGCATCTTCCTTTCTGGAGACTTTCCTAATGGTCTCTGGGACCTGAGATAACTGAAGGTTGGTCTTGCTAGTGGGCCCTGTCCTTGCTTTTGTCACCTGTCTGTTTATAGAAGCCCTGTTTGTTGCCTTTGACATTCCTGGCTAGATTCAATTCCATTTGGGCTTTAGCTTTCCTAACCTTGTCCCTGGATGCTCAGACAATGTTTTGGTGTTCAACACACATGACCTGTCTTGCTTCCACATTCTGCATGTTTCCTTTTTGTGTTTGAGTTTTGCTCCTTGTTCACCTTTTTGCCTGATGTTGTACTTGCTGGGATGGACTTCTCTTGAGCCTGGAGGAGGTGATCCTTAAATATTAACCAGCCTTCGTGGGCTCCTTTTCACTCCAGCGCCTGATTCCATTGGACTTTTCCAAGCAGAGTTTTGAAGAGGCCACAGCCTGCTCTCCTGAAGTCTGTGGTTATAACTTGTTTTTTGCCCTCCCCTCCACCTCTCAGGGTCCTGAATTCCAACATCGGAATTCCAGCCAAGGCAGCCTTCGACCCTCACATCCCCAACGAGCCCCTCATTGTTGTACTTTGTACCTAAATGATAACTTTACACTCAGTTATTTTGAATGAGGTTTCAAGAATCAAGTCTTAAGAGAATTTATCATCGTATAGACGTAGCTTGCTATCATATGACCTGAAATGGGGACAAACCATCTCTAAGTCAACTAATGAGTGATGATAGTCTTATGACTTAACATTTTACCATGAGGTCTTCTTGCAAATAATGCCTTTAACTATCTTTAAATAGAAATGTAGGGTTTTAGTTAAATTTCTTTCTGGATTTTTTGGGTTTTGGTTTTTTTTTCCCCCTTTTGGTTGTTTTTTTTTTCTTATTTTATTTGATCATTGCATCTAAATAGTGTGGTTTATGCAGATACTGTGTTACCTTGGTCATCCTTATATTGTTAAATGTGAGCACAGTACCTTTCTTTTCAGCTGCAAAATAATTGCTCTGGTTTTTTATATCTCCATCTAGTAGAGTTCTGTTGTGGTACAATGGTACTTTGAGTGTGATGATGCTGCTTGTTTTAATAGGTGCCATGCTGCTCTATGTGTTTAGATTTCTGGTATTTTGCTCAAACTAAAATAAATAACAGTGATAAATACTGTTGTATGTTACAACAAGTAAGAGAAAGGAGGCAGAGTAGAAGTACGAAGTACTTGGGGGTAATGAATGTATTGCTGAGGACTGCGTTTGCCATGCAGCAGTGGATGCTAATCAACTAGGATGGACTGGAGCAGCAATGATGTGTTTACCCTCTTAATGAAAGGTCATTTGTGGTGAGCATGGAAGTGTGTCTTCAGACCCAGAGGTGCAGGATTTCATGCGCTCTGTGCTGGAGTACAGACCTTGTGCTCTGCTACATTGCCTGGGTTTCCTGAGAAGAATGAGTAGCTTTTGGTTATTTCATGGTAAGAATCTGAATGCCTCCTTCAGAGCACAGCTGTCTGCTTAACCAGTTGTTATTTGGGAGAGAAGGGGCAAGTTTATGGCAGGTAGGCGTACTCACCACCTGCAGCAGCAGCGCTGGTCTGGCAGCTGCACGTCTTCTTTCTGTGCAAGTCACTGCTGTATGTGGAAGGCAGCTGTTTGTGTTTATTCCATGTGGGATGCTTGCTGTCTCTCCACAAATTGGATTACTTGGGATGAAAATCACAATTGATTACTTGTTGCTATGTGAATTCTTCTACTAAATCCTTAGATGGAAGTTTATGTTAATCCCTTTCACCAGATTGCAGGTTTAAAAAGACTTGCTTAGAAATCAAAACCTCATGTTGCAGCCTTCTCCAGTTGCTTGGTACCATTTGTTAGAGTTGTAGCCATTTACAGTAGTTGGGGATGCAGCTCAAAATTCATTCTGCTTGTGAGAGAAGATCTTATTAAATGAAAAGCAGCTGTACATGTAGCCAGTTTAGCCTGGTACAATTCAAAACTCAAGGAGAAATGTACATCTGTAGGGAAGAGCAACCACATCATGCTTTACATTTCCTATCAGTCATGTCTCCTATGTAATCCCTTTATCTCTTTTGGCTTGTTTGTTTGTTTTACCTGTCAGTCTTCCCATTTTTGTTAAGCTACTCTAGCTTGTTCAGGATGCCAATCATACCATCCTATCAGAGCACCTGCATGTGGAGTGATATTTTCCAGGGTGGTTTCTCAATCTCTGCTGAAGTTCAAATTCACTGCTATGACCAAGCATATCCATTTGACCAACTTAACACTTTATCACACTACTCATATCTGCAGCCTCAAAACTGTGGAGCGTCTGTATAACTTTGAATGGCCAAATGCTGGCATACCAGTTGACCTGGCTGGTTGTATCACTAAGAGTTACTTCAGCCTGCTAACAAACATGCTGAATTTATGGGATTTTGACATTTGGTTTAATCTGTACTACATTCCAATAGTGGATTCACGGATTAAAGAAAAGAAAAAAAAAATAAAAATAAAAATAATATCATGTAGTTTAGAAGCACACAAGCAAAGCTAGGGGTCTGAGTCATAGTGGTACAGTGCAGAAGGGGAGGCAGGAGGCTTATATATGTCTGGGGCAGGCAAGGAGATATGCGTGCATCCTGGGCTTTGATGCAAATCAGGGTGAAGGGAATGCTTTCTCTGAGTAGGAACTTGCCAGGGGCATCCCTGGGGAATTTTACCTGGATCCTAGGAAGGTACGTGCTGCAACAAAATATTTTGAAAAGGTGTAGCAGTATCAGAAGAGCTTTGTATTGTGATGTGGGGCTTACACTTGCTGTGGATGAGGTGTGCTGGAATGTATAATCAGGAAAAAAATTCTAGATATTGGCTTGGGCTGGGAAGACAATGCAAGTTGTGGTCCTGTTCTTAAAGGCCTGCATAATTTCATTTTTGGTTTGTGCTGTTTATAAATAACAAATCAGTGAGTATTCTTTGATACAAGTTCTTACATTTTAGTTTTGTTTGGGAACACCAGTTAAAATTTAGCTAGGTGAAGTTAAAATATTGCACTTCAGGAGCTGGGGTGAAAAATCCCCATTGCTTATCAGAGACCTCAGACTACCCTCCTGGTAACCTCCTGGACCTTTCTTTGTAGATTACGGCAAGAGAATGACATGGTTGACTCAGCTCCTCAGTGGGAAGCTGTGTTACGGCGACAAAAGGAGAAAAACCAGGCAGACCCAAACTACCGGCGATCCAGGCACAGATCTCGATCGTACGTAACCCTTGCCCTCTTTGATGTGAAAATTAAGGCTGCTGTGACATGTTAAAAAGCAGGAGGAGTATCTCCAGTGTGGTGGTGGCTCTTAGACACTGAGGAACAGAGACTTTCAGTTGGCATGTTCTCACATTAGCCAGTTTGTCTTTGTGGTCACTCTCTGTTTAGCGATTTGAATTTCAGGGCAAGAAGAGATAATGCAGGAAGAGCTTTGTCACAGAGCTGGTCAGGAACTCTCTCCATCACCTTTGATGGAGTCCTGGATGGTTTTCTGTAATGAGGACAACGATTCCCCTCCTCTAGGCAGCAAGTCTGTGAAAACACTGAGATTTTGTGATAGGTTCAGGCATTTTTGTGAAATGCATACACACTTTGTTTACTCATATAATGTCTGCAGTATTCTTCCAGATGAGACCAGCTACTGATGTCTCCATGTCAAATTACCATTGGCAAGCAGCAGTCAGTGATGACTGCATTCCGATGTTGGGATTTCTGTGATGGAAAGTTCTATTCCTGTTGACAGTGCTTTTGACATGGTGAAATTGTCAGCTTCTAAAATTAATTTTCTCAAACTAATGAAAATGCTGGTTTCTTCTAATCTATTTTTCTTCTAATGACATGTTTCTGGGGTATCCTGTTCTTTATCATTTTATATCTTTTATTTGTGTCCAGCCTAATTTGCCATCCAAGCAACCATCCAGAGCAGCGCCAGCATCAGTGTGCCTGGCAAGCAGAGCAGGACAGGGCAGGTGGTGTTGAAGAGTGCCAGGAAAGAAGCTATGAGGCAGTGGGAGAGATGGCAAGAGGGAGCAGCCTTTGAAGCTCCTTCCACTCTTGCTGCCTGGCTGACAGCCCTGGTGCTGATAGGGTAATGTGTGACCAGTGTAATGCACTTAGCATAGGTACTTCCCATTAATAACTTTTTCAAATTTACCTTTCATGTCAAGATTTACCAAGAGAAACTGTATAGTGCCTTAAATGATTATTTCATTCCTACTGATTGAAACTGTCATCGTACTGAAGTTTCTAGTATTAAAATCTGCTTGACTTCTGGTTTTAGTTGTCTGAGTTGCTAGAACTCATTTCTGTCTCCAATTTCATAGTGTACAGTTTTCATTCTTTTATGAGAAATAGAATTTGCCATTAAAATTCCAAATGTTGGAATTTCTTCTTAAACTGGCTTTGTACAGACTTGTTCACTTCTAGCTGCACAAAATGCAAATGATATATTACAAAAAATCAGGAATATTAAAGCTCCCTTGTATGGAATCCACAGAAAATATAGCTGATTAAGTTAAATTTACTTTTTTTTTTTTTACTGTATACAAAAAGTGCTATAAGCTAGAAAATTTACTCAGTAATAGACTAAATTTATACCCATAAACCAAGTAAATTTCATTACTTAGACAGCATGGGCTCCCTCTTGTGGCTAAGATAACTTGTGAAATGGCTTTTGTTTTCCAGCATGGTGATATTCAGAGTTATTTTTTTATTCAAGCTACTATTAGGAAAAACATAAATGTGTAGCATTGAGAAAGAGAGACCATAGAAGAAGCAAAGAAGTGAAATCCTGAAGATTTTGGATAGCTTCTCATTTCTTTTCCATATTATTTTAGCAATGAGTATATTCCTTCTTTTTGTATCTCTTCAGTTTAAAAAAAACCAAAACCAAAACAATGAAATAAGCCCAAACTTCCCAAGTATGGCACATATCCTTAATATGTGCAAGCATGAACTAAAAAAAGCAAAATGAGAATTCCTTTCAAAGTGCTTTAAAAAACTTTAGTAAAAGGCATTTAACTGTTAACTTGCAGTAGGTTATATTTAATTTAATTCATTTATTTGATTTATTTAATTCAGTTTGGCTCAGCTGTTTGCTTGCATGACTGGATGCAGGTTGGAGGAAAGGGAAATATGATTCCCTAGGGTGTAGGGTATGGTTGGTTTTGCTTTTAAATCGGGTCTCGTGGTCATTTCAATTTGCACATTTAACGATTGACATAAACCCTTTGTTTTAATACAGATAAGTCTTTCACATTAAGTTCCTTACTGCAGTCAGCTTAACTAGATGTTCTGTTTGGCTGTTTGCTACTGTACCTGGCACAGTGCATTTCATTTGTTTGATACTGAGTAATATTAATCAGTGGTGCTGGGGAGGTGGTGTCTCATTGGTCTCAGGAATAAAAATATTTGACCAGAATTTGACCTTCCTTTCTCCTAAAGGAATCAGCAAATTGACAGAGCTCTTATTTCTAGTTCTACAGGGTTTATTTTCAAGAATTCATGTAAAACATCTGTGTAGCCAAAGGGTTTTTTTTTAATTAAGATGGATAGCTATTAAAATTCCATGGCTATTTAAATTTTAACATTCATGACTCAAACTGAAATATTAATAAGAGTGCAGACGCAGACACAAAAAATAATGTAGACCTTATTTATGTGTAGAGTTGTTTGAGCATGTAATAAAAACAAAAAAAATCCTGGAGACTCATCACTTACTGGAAATTCCCACAAGGTTTCTTTGCATTAGAGAATCTGGTGAGAGTGTAAGTTGTCCAGAAGCTACTGATCCAGATGCTGCAATAGGACCATCTGAGTATACATTATATGTCAAAACTGTGAATTCTAAAACAATTTACAGTAAAAAGACAAAAACAAAGTGAAAGAAGGGTTATGATCTAGTTTTAAGATTTAATAGAAGGATTGCTTTATTGTGGGCTGTTAAGACCTATACAAACATGAATTTTCTATGCAGCATATGCAATAGCTACATTTTACCCTAACAATTTTACCTTACCTTTTGTAAGCTTTCCTTCATTTTGCCTTCAAAGGATGTAGGAATAGGCCTTTGGAAGGAAAATGCTTATAGGAGGATACTTTATCCGTATCATATTTCTGGATATTATTTTGAGTTAGTTATCTGCAATAAATGCTGCGAAGTTATCTCAGTATGGTAACACTTCTTAAACAGAAAATAAATACTGTGAAGATGGGAGTTCATAGAAGGGGTTTGCTCTAAGGAATTACTTTGTTTAGCCATTTTTCTTTTCTTTTTTTTTTCCTTTTCTTTTTCCTGTGAAATGCCATATAGCCATATTGCTAAAGAGAGATTTTACAGCATTGGCTTCCTTTATTAGTGTCATTGCAGGGGTGAAAGAAGGAGGGAGAAAGGCAAAGATCACGAAATTAAATGTCTGGAGTTGGCTGTGGAAAGCAAGAGGCAGAGTTCCAATAAAATGGAGAAACGGAGATGACTTCTTATTTAACCACTCTCTTTTCACACTACCCCCCACAGATTAATATTTCTTACCATAGGTGAGGCGTCGCATGACGTCCGGTGATGCGCGAGATTTAAGGCCACATCCTGAACTTTTGCATTTGCATGAATAAATAAAAGTCAGGAGCTGATCAGTTAGTGGTGTGCACAACACCCTGCTTTGTATGGATCATGAGTTTGGGAATAGCCTTGAGACTTTGCTTCCCTCAGGCAAACTAGAGCTTGTAAGCATTACAAAGCCTCCCTGAAGAAGCTGGCATTTTTCAGGGACGTTTTGCATTCCCTACTGCCTGATTATTCAGCCTCAGAAGAGGATGCCTATCTTCCCAGCCCCAGGGTAAATGTGGGGTATGCAGCTGCTATATTGTGAGCAGAAGGTTGAATATAAGGAGAAATCAGTTCAAAACTGGGAGTGAAAAATGCTGTTAAATGCCACTGCATACCAAGCTACAGCACCAGGGAGCTAAAAACAGCATGGATGGATGTGAGAAAGAGAGAAGTAAATACAAGAAGGGAGAATGAGAGAAAATCTCTGAAAAAATCAGAGAAACTAAATGCATTATAAGAAATACAAACACACAAAGCCATAAAAAGCTCTGAATACTGAGACAAGTAAGACTGCAAGCTACTTGTGTTTGTAGCTGTTGCTGTCGTGCAGACCTGAGCAGTTGGAGCACAGAGCATCCATCAAGGGAATCATCTGGGGCAGCTGCTTTACACTGGCTGGAAAGCCATCACTACCTTGGAATCCAAAAAGGTTATGAATTAGTTCACATTAGTCCCACTAGGGAATCACAAATGTAAGGTGATTTCTCATCCTTCTGCTTCTCTCTGGAGGGAAGGGATGCCATCCAGAGGGACCTGGACACGCTTGAAAGGTGGGCCAGTGCCAACCTCATGAAGTTCAAGAAAGGCAAGTGAAAGGTCCTACACCTGGGTTGGGGCAATCCCAGGCACAGGTACAGGTTGGGCAGAGAAGAGATTCAGAGCAGCCCTGCAGAGAAGGACCTGGGGTGTTGGTTGATGAGAAACAACATGAAGTAGCTTCAGTGTGCGCTTGTAGCCCAGAAAGC